TCGCTGGTACGCTTGATGCTCTAAGATGGGGGTGGTACCTGCAAAAGAGACTTCGATGCTAAAGTTAGGGTTTGTATGAGTAGATGTCTCGTATAAGTAATGCACATACCTTAGTGTGAGTTAGGGTTGCGTTGGGCCTTGGGCCTGAGATCAGTTATGATATAATTAGATAGCGGATCTCGTCTGGACCGAGATCTCCTAAGATCGGTTATGATCTGGTTGGATTGCGGATCTCGTTTAGACCGAGGTCTCCAAATGCGTGTTCCGAGGTCATTCCACGCAGCTGTGCCGAGCTCGAGCTCGGCATGGCGGTACGGATAGTACAATATATTTTGACCGGTTAATCAAATTAATTATAATTTAAAATTTAAAATATTAAGTGGAAGGCTAAAAAATAATTTTGCCTCAATAATAAATTAATAAGAGATCGAAAATCTTAAATAAATTGGTGGTTAGTTATGAATTTGTACAGAACTTTACCTTAATTTAAACTATATATATAGAGAGGAGAGTTCAAATGATACCGATGTAACTTTTACTAAGCGTTACACTGCTTAATAACTTTATATTAATTGTGAATTTTGTAAATCCAACCGTTAGATTGAAAATTCATATCACTTTATATGTGTATATCAAATTTTGTCAAAATTGAATAACAACTCGAAGATAATCAAAGTATTCATATTTTAGTATATTTTGAAATGAATATATTATGTCAATTTTGTTTTATAAAAATGAAGTATCAAATCATCTTGGATTAATATAAAATTTTATATATATGATCTAAGAGTAAAGAACTTTCAATTTAATGTTGAATTTACAAAATTCACTATTAATATAAAGTTATTGAGCGGTATAACTCTTAATAAAAGTTACACCGGTATCATTTGAACTTTACTCGTATATATATATATATATATAACACGGATAAGAGAAGCAACTAAGCTGCAGATCAGAAGACAAGTACATGAAATACTAAAACAAAACAATAATAGTCATCTCAAAGGAATCATCTCGTAAAATTGACAGCAAATGGATCCTCTGCAAATTGCAATAATGGATAGAGTAGTTTGAAGAGGAGAATAAGGTTGTTATCGTATAATTAACAGATAAGGATATGCAGAGTGAAATAGCATATCACTTAAATGAATGGTGATAAGTTAAGTGGTAGAAATAAAAGTTTCATAAATCTATTATATAAATAAGGTTTTGAGCACTAACAAAAAAAATGAGTTGAAGATTTATGTATAAAAAAATATTAATAAAAAGAAAGATCTAACTAAATATAGTCAAAATTTTTCATTAAAATTAGTCACTAATAAAATTGATAAATATTTCTTACTAATATCATTGTTACTAAAATAAAAAGTAACTTTAAAATATTAGATTATACAAGAAAATATATATATACATATATATA